TGAGGAGTTTCCTGATTTTTTTCCATTCCTTTTTTTTCTCCACATTGCTATGTAGCAAACAATCACTGCCCATTATTTTGAGTAACATTTGTTAGCTAACAAGCAGGACAATTGCATAGCTCTTTTCCATAACAAAATAATGCATTGTTTGATGTTGTGATTCTTAACTGGTGGGTTGCAACCCGCAAATGGGTTTCATGTCTGTTCTGATGGATCAGGGGAAAAAAATAATGCTAAATTCAAATAATAAAATGGCATTATTTACATATTGTGTATGATAGCAAATTAAACTGATCACGTTTTACAAATAAGGAGAAAACAATACCCATTTTTTTCATCAGTGATGTCACACAATGCCATACATCCAATCAAACTCCACTGTATTTTGATGAAAATCCGGTTTCACTTTATTTTGATGGTCCCTTTCACACATTCTGTTACTATAAGTAACATTGTACCTACTTGTCTACTAACTCTCATTAGAGTCTTAGTAGAGTATTAGTAGACTGTTAGGGTTACAATAAGTTGACATGTACTTGCAAAGTTACTTATAGTCAGTATAATGTCTGTTGGGAGACAATCACAATAAAGGGTTAGCAGACATTAAGCAGACAGTCTACTAATACTTTAATAAGAGTTAGTAGACATGTAGGTGCAACATTATTTATTGTCAACAGAATATTCAAAAGGGACCATCAAAATAAAGTGTTACCGAAAATGCATCTGTAATATAGACTCTTTAGAAAAAAACATGCCTCTGCCTACATTTTTGCCTACACTTTAGTCAAAACTTCAAAAATGTACTTACATACAATTCACTGCAGTTTCTGTCTAAAATGAAACACCAACAACTTTTATACCTTCTCACACAAATTATGATTACAGGGCAGATTATCTATTACTAGAGACTTATTTTCACAATATTCCTTGCACACCATGATCACAAAACCATAGTGCATGATTCATAAAATAATACATTTTGATATCACATCACTAGCTCTATATGTATGGCTTTTCTGATGTAGTAAACTTGCTCGGTAGCTCACCTAGTACAACATTGCACTTGTGGTGTGGAGAAGCTCAAAGACTTGTAGAATGGCTTGGCTGCTTCAACCTAAGTGTTTTTTTTTATCTCATGTTTTGTTTTTGTTAACACTTTCGGTTAGGTTTGGGGTTTAAAGTTGGTGGTTATTTTCAAATGCTATGAGCATAATCCTTTTAGTACCACTCACCTGATATTTTGTTTCCAAACGGAGAATAAAACTATACAAAAATAAAAATGATAAAACTACACAAGGTAAAAGAAAATAAGATCTACACTACTTCATCGCTAGATGTGCACTGTAAAATTTTGGTCCTGAGGAAAAAAATAAATAAAAATTGTGAATCACTGCTTTAGAAAACATTAGCATGAAGATTGGGGTTTGATTTATGGTTAGGTACAATAAAAATACATTAAAAACACAATATTCATGGCTCATGCCTGCACATTGCTTTTCAAGAAATAACAATTTTGTCAATCCTAATGAATTGTTTTGCATTGTCTGAAATATAAGAGAAATATTGCTATTTTCACCATGTTGAAAAGATGGGCCACCACTGCATGCTTCAGTTTAACTAAAGATACAATTATGAACCCAACAGATTAGCATCTTTGCATGCAATGCCTTCGTTAGTAAGCACAATATATACAACTAAAAATATTGACATGCTTTTCCTACATATCAACACATGCACAATGCAAATCTTACCCTGATAAAAGACAAAACAAACACATAAGCATAATGTGTCACCATGATATTGTAATCTCACACATAAGGAGCTGTGGTGTACACAGGAGGCTTGTGCAATATTCCCCTCAGTTACACAGAGATATAGGAGCTCCCCTGGAGAAACACCAGTCGATGTGTTTCTTTATCACAGATCTCCTTCTGCAGCTGCTTCCTGTAACATTCTTTATTTCTTCCTTCCTTTTCCCCTTCTCTTCCCTTTTTCTTTCCTTTCTCTGCTAATGTGTATGATCAACAATGTAATGAAGGCTGTTCAGGGATAACAAGATTTTCAGCATGTTTTGATAACTCTTCTTTCTTACACCAAGTAGCCTCAAATGGTGCCCTTTGTCCAAACCTCCATGGATGGCCCTGAGACTCATTTACAATGTCAGTGTGGCCGTATATCAGCAGAAGAGAAAGAGAATGGAGGGACTATATTTCTCTTGGGAGATCAATAAGCCACACCTGCACCAGATTTACTGCACAGTGTCATGATTTATGAGCATATCATCTGACTCCTCCTTGGCATTTTCTCGCCCCGGCAGGAGCCACAAACATGACAAAACAAAACAAAGCAGTAACACTTTTATCTGGTATTACAGGAATTTCATTAGAGACACATGCTGTGGTGTTGAAGTTCTCACTTCTGAGAATACTGCTGCTAATATTTTCTTTCGATATTAGAATATTTTTTCCTACCACAGCTTAATATATATATAAACATCTATACAGTCATGCAAAGGTACAACACAATAACTGGAGCGTGAATTGACATGGCGATATTCTCAGGTTCAGAGTTGGCATAGTAACTGTGTTTTGCCTTTTCAGGACAGTATAAGACAGTTGTAGGTTGATTCTGTCAAAAACTGTAGCTTTGTGTTGCTATCAAAGCAACGCTTGACCAGCCTCAAACAACAACAGCAACTGTAGCTCAACTAATGGTTTGAGTTTTACAATTTCTGCTCAGAAATGACACACTTTACCTTTAAAAGGTAATGGATAGGCATATTAATCAAATAGTTAAATTAATTAAGTATATTAATTAATATACACCACAGTTCAAACGTTTTTTTTTTTTTGTAGTTTTTGAAAGAAGTGTCTTGTGCATGTCTATCTATCTTACTGATTCCAAACTTTTGAATTGTAGTTTAATCTTAATAATAGCTTTCTTATATATTGCCACACACATCAGGACTTGTATCATACATTGTTTATGGCTAAATAGCTGCCAGATGTTATAAACTGTTTGAATTCTCCTGAGGGAAAATAGGAAATGCCTGTCACAGTCTTGCTTATTACAGATAAATACCTGGCCTTATACTTTTAAAAAGTCCCCCTATCCATTTAGCCACAGAAATAAACGCCACAATCAAGATAATTTTTTTTTAAATTGGAAACTAAACTTCATTAATAGTTCAACCTTATTTTGAAGTCCACAATATGTCTTAAAACAACATTATACTTCACTTTTAGAGAATACCCACACATTGTAATTTATGCACTTCACTGAACAATAAGACCTAATTGCATTTATTAATTCTGACACCATATTTCAGATGTCAGGCTTTAATTGAGACCGTCTCCTCCAGAATCCAAAATCAAAGACAAGACACACTATACAAGCTTTCCACTTGATTTCATGGGCCAGCAAACAGAACGAAAACAAATCATCATGCTTTAAACTTAATATTAATCTTCCATAGCTCTGTAATAACCAAATAATCACTTCTTTAAAAAGAAATCAACTACGCATTCAAAATAATGTTATATTGAATTAAAGGTCGCAAGAGGTTATTGGAACACTAAGGTCTATTTGAACATTGTTCTAAATATGAAATATTCCAGAAGTCAAACTTATATATTGAGTGTGTGTTTTCAATGCTTTTATCCCAAGTGCAAACAGTTCACTCTGCAAACAACAGGAGAGCTGGGACATTATTAGAGAACTAGGTTGGTTTTTCAGGTCCTCTGACACGTTAATCCTCCCCATAGGACTCTTAACAGACAGGGGCCAATGAATTACAGTTAACTACAGCCAGATCAATCCATTTCTCTGCCTCTGGCTAGGTGATAATTGTGTCTTCACTGAAAGGTTACAGCACAGGTCAGCAGCTCACATGAACTATAGTAGCCATGCAATTGGAAAGACTCAAGAGACTAGATAATGTAAAGTTTATCAGGGTCAGGAGATAGAAGTGATGTACTGACTGTTTCTGTCTTCTCGGTTTTCTTTCTTTATCTCTTTTCCTGTAAATTAGTGTATCAGTTAAGCATCATTCCCCTGCACTTAGATTAGTTTTGTTGTCCTTCCGTTTAATAAGGATGCTGTGAAACTCAAGTAGCACAACTTCCTGCTCCTTAAATCAGCTCAGATTGTAACGGTCATATGACCCTGAGCTATCTGAAGTTTGAACTTCATTAGTTCATTTATATAGTGCTTTTCTATCGTCAGTCCTATATCCAGTCTCAATGTGTTCTTTCAATAAAAGTGACTGTCATATAATGTTTTAACAGCTATATATCACCACCCCTCTCATATTTCTTCAAGGTGAGAGCTATTAATCTATGTTGCTATTAATGAAATGGAGAAGTTCTGTCTGTGTCCCCGCAGTTTATATGGAAGTAGAAGCTATAGTGCAAATCATACAAATAACTGATGCTATGACATATGGAACATTAGTTATGCTATATCTCAGTTTGTTTTTGTTTCATTAACATTTATTCTGTATTACACTCTAAAAAAAACAGTAAAATATGGGACAATGTACTGTATTAATATGAAGGATTTTTCTATATTTATGTTTTACAGCCGTTTTACCAGTATTTTTAATTTTGCACTTCATTGCTTTTTACTCTATTTTGTCTAGACAAAATCCAGTGTACAACAAACTGTAAAAAGGTGAGTGATTAACTTTACCTTTATTGTCCATAAGCATCTTTGTATATTGTGCCTTAAAGGGATACTCCACCCCAAAATTATTATTATTTTTTTTTTGTCACCATTTACTCACCCTCATGTTGTTCTAAACCTGCATTTTTGAGAAATGTCTCCGAAGGCTTTTTTTTTTTTTTTGGATCAAAATGAGGGTGAGTAAATGATGACATTTTCATTTTGGGTGAACTATCTCTTTAATATTTGGGGAAAGTAGCATATTTACCAACCTGGTCTCATGGCAAAAACGTACCCGAGGGCACATTTTCGCGAGATGCGAAATACGTACCAATAAGTACATATCACTGCAATTTCCAAAAGAAATGAACACTAGAGGCAGTAAAACTTCGACACCTTTTATTCCTTTTCACACACATTTACAGAGTTTCGATTAATAAAGCGTACAGAAAAGCACCCAGAGGTACGTATTTTTATGAGACTGGGTTGATATTTACAGCTAAAGGGTGCATATTAGGCCAACTTCACACAGCAGCAGAATATGGTTTTCAGCCCGGTATTTTGAGTCTTTACTATTGTTTGCATTCACATATATTTTATTTACGGGGGTGATAACCCAGCTAACAAAAAAAGGTCCCCAGGACGTACACTAAATGGCCTCTGAACCACATTCTATAAACAAACTCATACTCACACATACAGTGTGAGAGTCCCACTCTGTGCTGCTCGTATGCACCTTGCGGGTTTTCATGGGTGGTTTCAGTAACTTACAGAGCCACAGATATGAGTTTTGCAAGGTGTCATCTGAAGGTTTAGATCCAGTCACTGTCACTGCTCCAGAAAGTTTTGTGGTCTGTGCATGACTCAAATGTTCCACTCTTTCCTGAGGTATAATTAATATATGATGGATGAAATCACTCTTCAGTTGAACTTTTGTCATGTCAAATTTCAAATGTCAAAATACTTTTTGCTGTTTAATAAGCTGTTTTTGACATCGCCATCTTTAATATTTACTTAAGTCAATGTTGCTATGGTTACAGGTGGTTGAATACAGACACATTGAATACAGGCTTGACTTCAGTTCAAACAGATAGATATTCATGCCTTTATTTAAGCTACTGTGTGAACTTTTGTTTGATTTTGATTTCTGTGTGATTTTGACAAGCACCTGTAAATAAATGTGGCTGTCAATCACAAACACTAACAGTGCATACGTAGCCTTAGTACCTAAAGTGTACATATTAGTACCTAACGGTAAACAAAATGTACCAAAAACGAGTACCTTTTGAAGGGGTGTGATCCCAGTTACAGTTTTTTTAACACATTTACTGCTCAATGTGGTTTTCTAAAACTGCAACATACTTTCATTAAGTGCTTGATTGTTGTTTCATCTGGCGAATATGAATAATTCTGAACTCCTCAAACCCAACGTCCCCATTTCAAAGAAGAGACGTGTTTATCTCTGGCATGTACTATATTGTTTCACACCAACCCGTTCTCATCAGTCTGCGTATAAATAACACGACTTTACACGTTCTAATTGCGTGTAATGCATACGCCAAATGCCAATTTTGCGTGCATATGATACGCCAATCCTTCACATTAACTTCGGTGGAGAGCAGATGCGTCCAAATACCACGCGTCATCTTCAGCGGCAGTGACGTCACCAGCGAGGCTCAGTTCGTCCAGTTCACCTGATGCGTGTACAACTTCAAACGGGTAAGGGCAACGATGTTTTTTTGTAATGAGATCATGTGGTTAACGGTATTATTTTAATTATTTCAGTGTTTCTGCATCATGTTACATGGGGTCATGTGTTAAAATGGTAGCGTATGCGTTCAAATTATGGAACAGTGGGCTGCTCAGTTAGCACAGCTGCTAGCCTACCATTGCCATTAGCCTAAGCTAACTTCTACTGTATATACCTGTTGCAGTTTGAAATAAATAAAACCGTTTTTAATCATGTTGTGACAAGGGTCTTCAGCTTTTAGACATGGCTGATGACAGCACAATAAATCAACCAACCCGGTATCGCTTGATAGTCGTGATCATGTAAAAAGTCCACACATTTACCATATTTTTACCATAGTAGCCTAACTGTTGCTCGACCTTGTCATGTGTAGCCAATGCACAGTAACTACAACATATTTATTTGGCGTATGCATTACACGCAATTAGAAAGTGTAAAGTCGTGTTATTTATACGCAGACTGATGAGAACGGGTTGTTCACACCCAGGTGGCTTGTGTTGAGATTTAATTCCCTGTTGTAACATGCTTGCTTGGGCAAAGGGATCAGAATTTCCTGTCTTGGAAGAGTAGGATATTCCTCACACGCACACATAGTATTTCCATACCCAGATATCCACACACTAAATAGATCATTCATTTGCATTTCCAATCTCTCATGCTAACATGGCCCCATTTATCATGTAAGACAACTTTATAGATGGGGTTTTCTTTCACACGGTAATATTAATCAATAGCAAGTGAAATATGAAAAGGAAGAAATCAAATGCATGTAAATATGAGAATTCTCTGATCTGAGCAGACTAGTGCAACTTGAGAGTAAATATCACATGCAAATATAGTGTGAGGGTAAGCAAAAACAACCACTGCACTCAGGCTCAAATACATGATTCTCATATTCAGCAGTTTTGGAGGGTGGTTGTGTTCCTTTAGCCCCTTCTATTGGAGTAAGAGCACACAGTACACGTAGCTTATGGATATTTTGTGTGAAAAAAAAAAAGTCTATTGATGTAAAAATGATAATGCGTTCTGCTAACAGGAATAACATACATTGTATGTTTCTAAATCATGCATTCATAAAAGCAAAAAATAAATATGTTAACATATCTTAATTTTTTTTGGAATTTCTAAGGTCTGATTCAAAGAGGCCTACTGCAGATACTGAAAGGCTATCCTCATCTTTGTTTCTGTTTGAAGCTTTTAGAGAGTATTTATCAAGGGTGAAATAGCGAGTAAAACACATGGCAACCTTTGATCTCTTGGGCAAAGTTTTGAGCCTGGGATAATTCAAATATCTTTATTTCTTAAGATCTTAGAAATAGTGAATTGTGTCTGATTCTTGACATTGAAATGTGTCATAACATTTATCAAATGTCTGAAGGTTTGATTTTCAGGACTTTTGATGTTCCTCCACAAGGTTGGTGATATTAAGAGGAAGGAGCATGTCAGATGTGCCCGTCTGAAGGTTTTGTACTATATAGCCTCAGTGCATATGTGTTCGGAGATGCTGCTGTCTCAGAGGTATGTGTCAGAGGTCATGTCAGAGGTATGAGTCACATACCTCTGACTCACGAGTCAGTGTACCACGTGCATGATTTATACTGTCAACAGCCTCACTGTGTCACCTCACCTTTTCCAATTAGGAATGAGCAGTGATGGTGTGTATGCTTCGAAAATGCAAATAGACAGCAAAAAGACAATATGCTTATACACAAACACACAAAAACACACATGTTGGGTTTCCATGTTTAGGGGGACATCCCATAGACATGATGATTTTTATACTATACAAACTGTATTTTCTATCCCCTTACCCTAACCTTAAAAGTAACTGCATTTTAACAAAAAAAAAAAAAAACATCAATCAATCAATAAAACTTAATTATGTATGATTTATAAGCTTGTTTCCTCATAGGGACCAAAAAATGTCCCCAAGGATTTTGGATATTGCCGTTTTTGAGGGGACATTTTGCCTTATAACACACACACACACACACACACACACACACACACACACACACACACACAGATAGACAAATCACAGTAATCGGAAAAAAAGGATTTGCAATAACTCTCATCTCTACCCCAGCTAACAGGGAACATTTCTTAAAGTCCTGGCAAGGTTTCCCCAAAGTTATGAACAAACATTATTCCAGTAACATGAATAGAATGCTTGTTCAAAGTTATCTGGTCTTTAATAATGTTCACAAAACATTATCACAAAAACAATAATACATCATTCATGAAACTTTTTTTTTCTGAAACATTTTAGTTTGGATGTTCATTTAACATTTCTTTAAATTTTAGACAAACTAACAATGTTCTCAAAACGTTAGCAGAAAAACTTTATTTATACATTGCTCTTGGACTTTTTTTTTTCTAAAATATTTTAGTTGGACTTTTTTTTTCTCATTTTTTGAAATTTTAGACAAACTAATGATGTCCCAAAACGTTAGAACTAAAACATTATTTGTACATAATTCATTCATTTTTTTCTGAAATCTTTTAGTTTCGATTTTTTTTTTAAATTATTACAACCTAAAAACATTCTCAAAACATTCTTAACATGAAAATATTATTTATACTGTACATTGCTTATGGATCTTTTTTTCTGTTTTACGTTGACATTTTTTTTTTATGTTACTACTTGATTCTAATATTCCCATAATGCTTGCAAAATCATAACGTTCCCTTAAAATTTGTATTACCAAAGAAAATACATTTTTAAAGCATTTAAAAATCTAGATGTTTTAAATGTTCAGAGACCATTCAGAAATAATGTTTTTATAACTTAATGAGAACATTTTAAAACGTTTGTTAGCTGGGACTAAATGTCTTTTGGGAACAGTCATCACTCCTATTATATTGTATTTGTGGTGTTCTTATGTGTCTGTGGTTCCAGCAGCACAACAGCTGTTACAACCCAGTGATCAACTGTGAGGCAAAACAAGAAACAATTCCCTGTCTCAGTATTAAATATGATGCTGTGTCAATTTCTGTGAGCATAGTCTATATTTACCCTTCTCTGTCAGGAAAAAAAAAAAAAAAAAACAGCAGCAATAAATTGCTGGTGTGGTTTGTCATCAAAGTATGAAGTAATCACTGTTGTATCCCATTTAGCATCATCAATCAAGCCAATATTACACCCTTACTGCACAAGTCAGTGAGGCAGATTCGATCAAGCCTATGCTGTTTTTATTTCAAAGGTTAACATTAAGGTAAGGAATGAAGGTTAAAGTCAGGGCAGCCTTCAGAGCAACAGACAAAAATCCATATGGATCGTTTCGGTTCTGTAGCAAAGAATATCCTTGATGCTTTGAGAGACTGTTTTTTTCTGACAATGTTTCCTCTTTTTTATGTGAAAAAACAACAACAACATATTTTCAAATTTGAAAACAGTTCCATTTCCATGGTTGATGCATATTTGCTTGCAGAGTGTGGAGATTGCATATATGTATGACAAGAATGCATGCATGTGAATCTGTGTGTGTGTGTGTTCAGTTGTGTGAGTGTGCAGCTGTGTAGCTGTTTACCAAGATCCCACAAAGGCAAATATACACTGCAGTAATCATATCATTGTTTACTCAGTGAACATATGGATAAATAAATACACAAGTACAAAACTATCCATCACAATTTGGTTGTCCTCCATTTTATTTATGTATGAGTAGGCTCTAGGTTTCTATGGTTACAAGCATTAGTAATGAGAGGGGGAGCGGGGTTCTCCTCTTTCTGTTTCGAATTTGTATTATTATTATATATAATACCATTCAAACTGCTATTTATTTGGAAAATGCCACTCATCGTCTTCAACAACATCTATTCCTCATTAAATGTTTTTAAATGTTCTGTAAATGACCAGGATTGGTTCTCATATTGTCAAAGCCTGTTACCAACCTTTTGCCACAGCAGTTTGTTCTGAGAGGGTTTGTTGAAGTGCAAAATGGCAGATTTTAAATTCCTCAGTACTAATTCAAATCTACTATAGATAATAAGCCAGAAGACGTTCATTGGTTGTCTTTACAATACTTCTTTGCAAATCTGTTAATTACCCTGCTGCCTTTATCGCTGCTGTTTTCCAAATCAATGAGGTGGAAACAGAAACAGTCTCTGGAAGGCTTTATGCTTAAAGATGTCTCTGGGATTGGATCAGAGAAATGTCAAGTGTGCGGGTTTGTAGAAGGAGGAAATTGGAAAATCCCGCTCTGCATGCTTATGGACTGGCCATCTCATTGCCAACCACATTTTCTGGCACAGTACTTCAATTATTTACATATTTGATTTGGTGGCTTAACACCGCCTGCTTTGTATGGCCCTGTGAGCAAGACCGGGTGTTAACAGAGCTAGACCAGTGTTAATGTGTGGTTTGCAAGGGTAATGGAGGACCAAGCCAAGACACATTAGTGAAGGTGAGATAACTACAGCTGTATCAAGAAACTGAAAACGGCATCTGTAATTCTGGCTGTGCTTCATTTATTGATCACCCAATGGCTTTTGATGAGTAAGCCAATGTCAATACTGATATTTATCCCTCAGTGCTTGTCCTTGCCTGTGCTGGGAAATGGAAAATGATAAAAAGGTGGCTATAACAACTACACATTAGCAATAAGAGGCCACAGAGTGGTGATTATGGCAATGTATTGGAAAACACAACATCAACCTGTTTGATAAAAGAAACAGAAGTGCTTATGATCCTAAACATTCCTACTTTCTCATCATACCAAATGAGGCAAAAATGACCTGTTCTGAATCATGCCTGCAGGACAGTGCATCGGCCTTGTGATTCTTGTTGCCTGGTCAGTATGTTAAAGTAAAATTGAAGTGGGTGAAAAATAAGGACCAGCGGGCCTGCCTGGGATTCATACGTTTCGCTCATTTAATATATTCAAGGTTCTTTTGATCAGTAATAATCTGAAAAGGATCAACTGCCCCCTCTAACCAATGATGCCAT